TAACTCAGACCGGACCATACCTTGTTCTTCCACACCTTAGCATGAAATCTTACCTGGGTGCACGTCTCAATGACAAGACACCTCTTTAAACCTTACAGTCAGGCTCCAAACTAATTTTTAGCCACATCTTCCCTATATACACAGGATATAAGTAATTTCTGTAGAGTTGTCTTAAGGGCTTTCTGAATTTCTGGCCAGGTATGTGTTGGACAGTCAAGGCTTTCAATTTATCCTTTTCTTTATGAACTCTCTCTAGTGTAAGAAATAACCATCTTATGTTGCAATCTTTGTCATCAAACTAATTGCCAGAGCCATCTGAGCTCCCTGTGCTTATCCTCCATCTGCACCCCATTCCATGCCTCCACTGGTGATATTTTGAGTAATCATGATGCTACCACATGCTCATATTACCAGTGTCCCATTTCCCATGAGGAGGGTACCCAAATGGTCCTCAAATATGTGAGCAGCCCAAGCCTAGGATTACATTCGAAAGTCTGTTTGCTGGGACCACTCCTGGTACCTATTACTGTTTTGTTCAGGGTCCAGCAGGACCTGGTTTATTTGAGAAGTATTTAGTAAAAGGACTGTTTACAAAGGGAGAGGACACTGTTTAAGTAAATAAAAAAGTGAAGCACTGTAACCTAGCTACAAAGGAAAGCCATTATCACCAATAAGCTGAAGCAGTAAAGAAAAGGAATGAGCCCCAGAATTCAAAGAGCTGTAGAGTAGGAGGGATGACCATCCAACCGGAGCTGTGGTCTTAGGCAGAGAAAAGCAGTCACTTGACAAAAATAGGCCAAAAAGCAGACGGGAGAAGCCAGGGGAATAAATATCCCAACCTCGTTCTTTCAGACCTCATATTTCCTGCTGATGCTTCCTACTGACCAAATCCGGCTGAGGGAGGCTATGCACACATGGATGCTGTGCTAAGGGTCAGCCTCCAAGGGCACAGAGCAGAGAAGGGAAGGCAAGGGCAGCGCTGAAGAGGTACATGATGAGTAACCAGGAAAAGCCATGTGCTTTCATCTTTTCATATATTTTTTGGATTTGGTTTGCTATTATTTTGTTTAGGATTTTTGGATCTATACTCATAGTGCAATAGGCCTATCATGTTTTTTCTCGTACTCTCCTTGTTAAATTTTGATATCAAGGACATGCTGCCCTCACAAGCTGAGAAGTAGTCACTCTTTTTCTATTTCTTCAAAGCAGAATATCTAGTAGAATTAGAATCATTCATTGCTTCAATGCTCAGAAGTGACACAAGATAATTCTACTTGCTTTCCATTGGGCAAAGCATGTTACATAATCCCATCTCACTTCAAGAGGGTGGAGAATTGCAATCAATCACCCAGTGTCCCTGGGGAGAGAAGAGAAACAGCATTTTCTACCTCTTGACTCACTTTTTTTTTCTTCATTTCTAAGGATATTCATATCAAGAATCAAGAAGTGTCTGAGATGCCACTCTAATTGCAAGCTAGCAAGTTTGGTGCCACGACTTCATAAATGATAGCAGAAGACACAAGACTCATGAGTCAGAGATAAAGCACAACTTATTGTTCACAGCAACAGCAATCAGAGTATCAGGATTTTGCCCTAATTCCCTCAGGATGACACCAAGTCCACGTGACACACACACACAGTGAGCTGCTTTACAGACAGGGGATGCTGGGCTTAGAGGCTCTGAACATTTTACAGGAGATAGTGAACACTATCTCTATCTTCAAAGCTGCTTGTTATACACATTCCTTGGAAAAAAAGAGAACTAAGCAGCTCTGCTCAAAAGACATGCAGAAACATTAGAAGCCTACAGAGAACTGTTTCCCAACTGACTTTTTGTTTTAAACCTAATTTCATACCTAACATAGAGATTAATTAGTCATTTATATTGTGAATAATAATTTATCAAAATAATTTCTTCTGCTCTGCTATATTTCTTCTCAATTTCATCCTTGATATTAATATTGCCACCAATTTTCTGTTGTCTGCTTGCATTATGATTGATACAGTTTTACTAAATATCTTTACATGTCATTTTGTTTGGGTACATATCTGGTACACAGCATCTAGTTCACTCATTTGATACCATACAAGAATAATTATACTTTACTAGAGTTTTCATTTACTCAAATTTATGCACTGATATTTTTAATCTTGTTTTTCTCTTATATGTACTTTCTTCCTATTAACCTAAAAAACAAAACAAACAAAAAACCTTATATCATAATAGTTCTCAAGGTTGTTATTGGTCTCTTTTCCTCTCTAGAAATATGGAGTTTATAATTCCATTTTCATTCTGCTAGCAGATGCCTTTAAGTTTTTTTAGTTGCTTTTAAATTTTTTAATTGAATATTTGAGTATCTACTTTCTTACCTACGTATCTGTTGACTCTTCTCCCCTTAAAAAGATTTGGGACACTTTTATCCCTCTGAACCTTCATACAGCAGATGTTTAGTTAGAATACTCAGGGTATTTTTTCTTTTTTCACAGATTCAGATTTTTTTTTTTGGAAATAGATTTTTATTTGAAAAATTATTTTTGTCCATTACATTGTGTCATAACATACAAGTGAGGATCATTTAGAAAGGATCTTGAAGTTGGAATGCTCACAGCCATTTCTCATATACAAGCTCACATCCAGACTTGACCCCACCATTTCAAGGGAGCTGAGTAGAGTGGGCACACGTAGACTGATGAGATGCTTCTGCCTAACAGTGTCTTTCTGTTGACTTCAGAAAGAAAAAATCCTCAGGTCATTTTTTAACCCTCAAAATTCAAAATTCTTCAATAGAAATGTTCCTCCCTCATCTTCTGGCATTTAGCATTGAGGAAGAGAAATCCACGCTGTTGCTACTTTTTCTTGCAGCTTTTCCCCTCCAACTTGAATGCTTATAGAATTTGGTCAATATTTTTGAAATCCAGAATGTCATGAGGTTGTGTCTATGTGTGTCTCTCTATGTTAATTCTTCCAGTATTTGGTAGACTCTTTATACAGCTAAGATCATATGCCTTTTCAGCTTAGGAAAATGAGCTTT